GCACTGGTACAGCCCCAGTCCTGCAAATACCTGTTGGAATACCAACAGAGGATTTGATCTCTTTTCCTTTCTATCCAACAGCATTTTCCATGCAAAGTAAATGTTACGGTCGCATTCCTGTGTTGTTCAAGAGTTGCTATTTTAGTCTTTTAAAGGAAACAAAGCTGGGCACCAGCTTGCTTTCAGTGTTTCTGCTCTAGCCCTTGTAATTTTTCCTGTTTCTCCAGACGTCAAGAATTAAAACTGGTTTGTGCAAATAGGAGATAGCCCGGAATAGCTTGCAGGAAAATCTTGTACCCTTGTGTGTTCCATAGGCCAATGCTCTATAAGCAAATGCTCTAAATAATGAACTACCTTATCAAGGGCTCTAAGCCACATAAGTAGTAACCAGGAAAACAGGAAGAGGGCTTGAGAAGGCTGTTATAGGAACAATGGAGGAATTTGGGTATAAGGAGAATTAGAAACATTGCAAGGAATGTTGGAGACAGGAATGCAAGGAGACAGGAATGGTGGTAGGAAATTTTAGGGGCTTTGAGAAGAAGATTTTGGTAGCTGGGGAGAATATTCTGAGGAGAAATTGGAGAGATGCCAGTAAAAACTACAAGCTGCTGCTTGCAAGTTTCCATTCAGATACTGCAGGGAGTTGTAGATGTTCTGATTTCATAGCATTAGGAAACCATACAAAGCCAAGACAAGCAAGAGCATGGTTCCTGTATAGCTGCACTGCCCTGCAGCCCAATGTGAATACACATTCATCCTATATCCCTACTCAAGTCTTTACTGAACTTAAAAATGGTCTCTATGAGACAAGCTAAGTAAGGAATTTAAATCCTGTAACATAGAGACAGCTGGTATCTCCAAAAGCCATGTTTACACAGATAGTTACAATTACCATTTTTACAGAATGCTGAGTTACTACTTTAGGCTGCATTTGAACTGGGATAAAGCAGATAGCCTTCCTTTGGACCCATTAGAGTACACATGGCTTGTGGGGTTAATCTTTGTAGCAGACAGTCACTATTTTGGTTTTAGGTCCCTAGCAATCTTTCAGAAAATACCCATGGACAAAGTTTTCTCCAGCAAAAGAAATAACTTTATTTTTTATCCTACTTTTAAAAGAAAAAGCCAGGTGTTCCAAATGGAAAGCATATGGCCTCTAGCTAGGAAGCAGTATGTAGTTTGTTGCACAGGATCACAATCTGGACTTTTGAGCCTGAAGCAAATGAAAGTTACGTCTTACTGAAGCTCCCAAACTCTGACAACAGATGTTTCACTGGTGTTCCTCTGCCTAGTTGCAGCTTCTAGACAGCACTTCTGTGGTGAGTGGTCTTGTACCATATTACTAAGGAATGCTGCCATACACTTATTTAGACTATCTAGGTAGGATTCGTTTCTCTGGGGGTTGTTTTGTTTGGGTTTTGTTTTGTTTTGTTTTTTGGGGGTTTGTTTGTTATTCTCACTGCTGTAAACTATCTCTTTTGGCCATGTCTGAGTTCTGTAGTAGAACCAGAGAGCTGGAGACTGTCTGTTTAAATTCATGTTTCCATCACTAGTCCCGAGAGTAAGGACTTCAGCAGGGTGGTTGCTAAACAACAGCTTCCATAACAGAAAGTAGAGGAAAACCAAAACCTTATTCCAAAACATTACTGCATGCAGCAAAGCTTGTCTTCAGTGTACTCCTCTCCAAAATCTAGAGGAGGTGTCTTGCAGTTATCCTGGAAGTGAATGATTGTGGAAGTTACACCAATGTAAACCAATTAAATTAATTATAGTGAGCAGTTCTAGAAATAGTTTAATTTTCTATTTCCTGGCAAGTCACTCATTCCTGGAAGGATCAGGATGCCTTTCTCCAGAGCAGCAGTGAGCCATGCTGTAATATAAAGTAGCCTCTACTTTTCTAGAAGATGAAGGAGACATTTGAACACTATGTAACATTTTCCACAGGCTCTTGTATTTCATTTTGGAATTAACTGGATTCATTTTGGATTTTGTCTTAGAATTATTATAACTGAAATGCACAAAGAGCTTCACCAATGAGCTCAGAACATTCTTGTAGTGGATGAGGCCTGGGTAGGAAGAACAAAAGGACTTGCTTTCTTTCCTTTTAGAGGCTAGCCCAAGCATGCATGGCATTAAGGATATTATTTAAACCTGTTTTATTTTAAGAAATGTTCACAGCTATTGCTAATACATACCAAAATGAGGTGTTCCCCACTGAATGAAACTATCTTCATATTGGCTGCTTTTCCATTAATATGACAACAGTCCATACACTAACAAAGGTGGCTGTCGTCCTTATTTTTGATCACTGCAAACAGCCAAGGGGTGTAGATGGCATTCTTCGGGAACTTTCAAACAGGAGCAGTTTGTTCCAGAGTAACAGCTCCTGCCTATCACACAGGCCTGAATTTTACAAAGCTGAAAATGCTGTGTTTAGCAGGATGGCCTCCTTAGGTTTCAAGAGAAGCAAACTCTCAGTTTAAGGCTTCCCATACTGATCTGCACTGGCACATTGAATCCCTTGATTTCAGAAATTACTACTTCAGCAGGTGATTTTGATATAGCAGTTTCACTGTTAGGATTGCAAGGCCCTGAAAACCCAACAGCATAACCATCAGCTTCCCAGAAAGAAGGCAGGATTTTTTTTTCAGTAACAGCTTTTTTAAATTAATTTATATGCATGTAAAAATATGTTTGAAATATTTTTATACTGTGCTACATAGTATTACTTCTTTACACACAATAAATAAATTCTTCTCAAATAAGCAGAAATCTAACAGCATCTAGGTTGGCAGTGATGACTTGAAGCTTATGGGTAGAACTGGGGACTGAGAAAGGTATTAAAGCTGAAAATAAACGTTCATTATGCATTTATGTGACTACAGGTTTGGTTGCTGTTTCAGAGACAATGCAATCAATTGAATGGTCTGTCTTTGCTCTTTCTGTCAAGAAATCAAGGTGGATTTCTAATTGAGAATACAGACTGTTAAAACCAGGAAGGTAGGAGATTACCCAGCTGGGCACGGACCGGGACCAAGAGAGTTTTCCTGGGAGTTCTTGCTTTAACCCCCTGTGTTCTCAGAGGCGGTCCATACCTTCAGTGGCCAAACCAGGTGCCATTGTCCCCTTCCCTGTTTCCAGAATGCTCTCCCCTCCTCGGTGGGTGATTGGATCGGGAACAAGGGTCCCTCCCTGTCGCATTCCCTATTGGCGAGCTGGCATGTTTGTCACCAGTTTGTTCCCTCCCAGGTTGTCCCTCATTGGTTAATGTGTTGTATGTTCCGCCCCCTTTATAATCTGCTGTATCTCCACCTCGTGGTCTTTTCTCAGCTGGGATCCCCTGGAGACGATAAACCTCTGGACTTTGCCCCCGAGACGAGTCCCTCTTTTCTCCTTCGCCTTCCTGCTGCCCACTGCTGCCTCCTGCCGAGGCGCTGCCCGGACGCCCCCGGCGCATCCGGGCAGTGCCCCCCGGCTGCCAGCTGCTGTGCCACAGCTCGGCCGGTGCGGACTCCTCCCCTGCTTGGGGGAGTAGAGAAAAACTCGGACAGCAGCTCGGCACACAACCTCCCAAAAAACTCACTTCCTTCTTAACCTCTGACACATATATCACAATGCAGCTGGATGTTGCTTTTGTGATGGGTGGGTAGGTTTAGAAAAGAAGCTGAGAGTTACCTTATTTTGAGCTATCTTCTCTACCTTGAAGCATCTGGGAAACTGATTTTCAATAATTTGTGTTTTGAAACTTACTGTTCTGAAGTTTCCTACAAAATAGCAACATTGGGGAAAAAAAATTACAATGTTTTGGAAATAGAACGTCATATTTTCAAAATCACATTTGTTCTTTGGTAGTGTTGCAAAATGTGGAATATGTCAAGATTGTCTGAAGTCAGGATGTTCTTTGATGTAAGATCTTTGTATACTTTCAAGCCTAGTCAGCCATCTGCAACCTTCACTGGCTACTGGCATGAGGAAAAGCAATTAGGGACATATTGATCTCTGTGCCAATTTCAAAATCTACCCTCGGGAGTCTGACCTACTTTGGACTAAGCTTGTTCATTGGCAGTCTCCTCCCTGCTCCTAAAAGTAGCTGCATCAATAAGGATACTGCTGCTTTCCCAGATGAAAGTGGGGAGATATTGATGTCCCCCAGGCTGGATGGAGCCCACAGCTGCTAACACTTAGGGGCATGCATTAGTTCTGGGCAGATACACACAGCTGCCTTCACAACATACATTCTCAGCCCAACCCAGAGGTGTAACCTGCTAATAGAGGACCTGGAAAAAGCTGGGCAAACCTTTTTTATTTATTTTTAAATCTGTCAGGACAGATCTAGCCTGGAGTCCTAGAGAGACTGTAACTATGGTGTAATCTGCAAGGCCTTTGCTTTTTGGAGTCATTTACGAAAAGGAAACAGATGAAGGCAGGAGCTTTTGCCTCCAAGCTGAAACAAGGTGTTGCAGATGTTTCTACAAAGAAAGAAGAGGCAGTAGGCAGGAGAAAGCTGCTCAGTGCAGAGGGCTGGCTCTACATCACTGCAACCTGCCCCATAGTCCAGACACCGTAGTCCACTGCAGATGGACAGCACAGGCTGTACAGATGAGAAGAGAGAGGTACAGTTCCCAGCCACCCTAGAGGTGTCCTGCTGGGAACTGTACACCTGTCCTGCATGGATCTCTCCCTCCCTAGCACCTGCCAATCCTTTTTCTATTTCCTTCTGGGAGGCTTCCTCCTGAAGCAAGAAAGGATTTGATCTCATTTTGCCCCAAGAGCTGCAACACAGCAGTTGCCACAAGTGAGATGCTTTTTCTCAAGTAAAGCAAAACCCCAACTTGCATGCAGCCCATCTTGTCAAAATTCCTGATTTTCCTGCAATTTTTCCAGATGGGAGAAGGAAAGTAAGGGGTACATTTCCCTGCCAGAATTGTTTGTTAGGAATTAAAATGACTACAACATCTACTGGGTTATTGTTTTATATTATTACATATATGAATAAGAGTATGCGTATGAGTGTATATCTGGGCTATATGGGGGATGCTGAATTTAAGTGGCAAATACTTACCTCTCCCTCACCTTCTTCCATTTGCCTAACATTAAACTGTCATGTATCATTGGAAGTTGGGCTGTTAGAGGCACCTTATGATTGAAATGCTTGAGGGGGAACTGTATTCTGCCTCTGATATCCTGGGGAAAATCTCCAATAATGCGTTTCCTCTGAACTGGGATGTAACAATAAGGAGGAAAAACTTAAGTTCTGCCCACTACTAAAATTCATAAACTTTACAGGCTCTGGGTCTGAAAATAATATGATGGAACAGATTGGACCTCTAGTAACGCTGCCAGAAATTAGCAAAGCACAGGGTGAAAGAAACCAGAAACCCTGCTCACTAATACAATGGACTATTCGGGGGTGGGGGGAAATCAAACATGCTCTGAGTTTGATCTCTGTTATTCATTAATCATGTACAAATGGAAGCTTGAAGGGCAAGAAGTAGTGCTGGGCTGACAGGAAGAGCACTGGAATGTGATCCAGGCTGTGTAGCCTCTCTCTGCCACTGGCCTCAGCTGACCTTGGGCTTTGACTCCCAGTGCCTCAGTTTCCCCATCTACACAGTAAATTCTGCTGTTCATAAAGGGCTACTAGCAGGGAGGATGAGGGGAGCTGTCTACACTTAGGTAAATATGGTTTTGCTGGTTCATTTTATCTAGAAATACAGTATGACAAGGGAAAGGCATCCAAAATTTGCAAAGGACAGAGGTGAGGCAGGCTGGGGCAGCCAGGCAAGAACTTTTCCATCAGACTTTTGGAAAGCAGCTTATCTGCAAAAGCTGCTTGAGACTCAGCCAGGCCCCAGACCTGAGAGCAGCCAGTGGGCAAGTACAGAGGTGGAGCTTGCACTGAGGCGGTTTGTTAGATACAAAATGCTTGGATGGATCAGTGCTGACCACAGCACCCGGGAAGTGGCTGAGAGGAGCTGTGCAGAGAGCAGCACTGGCCATGGGGACAGCAGCCCCAGCCCTTTTGGTACTGCTCAGCCTAAGAGTGACTATTTGTGATGCTGAAGACACCTGCTCAGGTGAGTAAAGCGCAAACCTTACTGCCATCTCACTGAGACAGCCTGTTTCATCTCCCCTGTAAGAGAAGGAGGTTGGGAAGGGAGGGGGGAGAAGTAGCATATGATTTTTTTTACTTCTATGTTTTTTTTAAATTCAGCTGCCAGTGGGAAGAGAGTAAGGGGGAGGCTGAAGTCTCAGCAGCTGCTTAAGAAAGTTACTGGCTCCAACTAGTGATGTAACATCGTTCTCTCACCAGTGGGGTGTCTAGGAACAGACACTCTCCAGTGAGGTTTTCCCCCATGTTTGGGGTTTTTTTTAGGAGGGCCTCCGTGCAGTTACCAAAGGCTACAGAGCAACACAAAGGATCAGTCTGGGGATGCTGAACAGCAGAGTGTTCTGACTGTATTCCCCAAGAAGGCCTGGGGCAATTTTCAAACACGCCTGCCATCAGGAAATTCAGAAGAACTCTTACCCTTACTGTCCACAGATCCATCAGTGTCACTTACTCTGCTATCAATACCCATTGGGGCACCTCTCAGCTTTTGGTTTATTAACTACAGTATATTTGTCATGCATGCAATGTCATATATATCAGCCTCCTCCCCTACTGAACTCCCCTGAAGCCAGAGAGATGCAGAGTCTGGCTCCTCTAATATGTGAGATTCTTAACGCCATCTGTCAATCCATACAACACCCCAAAACTTCCATACTCATTACTTTTGATTACACTTCCTCAACTTCAAAGGATTTGGTTTCCTCTCCAAGACATTTTAGAGCCTTAATAATCTTCACAAAGACTGGCTTCATTTTTCAGAGGTAAGAATAGTGGGACTGCGTGATGCTGACCGACTTGCCATTCTTCAAGGATGTCCAGGGATCCCAGGCATCTCTGGCCCAAAAGGAGAAGCAGGTCTCCCAGGAACAAAAGGTGAGGCCCCCAAAGCCAGTGATGAGCACTGTGAGATGAGATGGTTTTGTTGCTTTGGATAGGGGAAGCAAGCTGAGGCTGGAGCAGTAGCTGGCCTGGCACTGGCTGCTGTGAGGAACTGGAGAATTGGAGTGGAAAACACCCCAATTAGACATATGCTGGTACACATGGAGTGACCTGTTTCTTCCTTGAGTCCTGTCACAAATCTGATGTGATCTTGGGGTATGAAGTATCTCATTCATTTCTTCTACAGAAAATCGTCCGTTTATTTTTTGGGTCTGTATTCCACAGTCTGGGTGGGAGGGAGGCCAAGATGCTCCTGCCTGTTTTTTGGGGAACAGTGTGGGAAATGTACTGGCAACTCCTATTCCAGGGAGCAAGGGAGATGGGGCTCCTTCAGAGTTTTCACAGCCAGCTTACAGAGAAGGTGAATTGCATCAGCTGAGCGAGATGATCCACCATAGCAGAATCCATAGACTGGTTCCACAATGTATCAAAGCTCATATGAATTCACATGTGAACTGCAAATTTAGACTTTGAATGGCAGTAGCAGTGTAGTAAGGCTTCAATAGAAAAAAAGGAGTAAGGTAAAAGAGTAAAACTAGGTTACAAGACTGAATCTGATTACCTTGGCTCCCTTGTTTCTGTGAAAGCCAAGGCCCAGTTGCCCAGGCTTCTGTGACTCCCCCCTCTGGTCAGTTTGTAATGTGCACATAAAAAATGAGTCTCTTTGCAGGAGAAATGGGAGACCAGGGATTACCTGGGAAAGCAGGACCACCTGGTGCAAAAGGTAATGTGTAACATATGCAGCTCTAATCCATAAATGCCCCCAAGCTCGGGACATGCATTGGGAGACTGGGTCTATGGAGATGTACTGCAGGGCTGGCCATAGGCTAAGAAACCGTGCTGAGGTAGCATAGGAAAAGCCTGATTTGGGGTATGGCCCTTGCATGGAGTGAACACCAGGAACAATGTCCTTGAGTGTCCAGGACCACAGCACAGAAGAAGATACCACTCTTCTCGAAATTTCTCACTGACTCTAAAATCAGACCTCTCCCCATTCCCCACTCCTCCCCTAACCTGACTCCAGCACAACAAGCCTGCCCAAATGCCTCCCAGCTCTAAGGAGCTTTGGAGCTCTCTGTGGAGCTTCAGCCCAGGCCTGATGCAGAGGTATTATGCTGAGTGCTTGTTCTACCAATTGACAGGGGCAATTTAAAGAACATACCAATGGAAAGAATGGTCTTGTTTTACTATGAATATAAAGGTAACACAAAAGTAAAATAATACATTAAATAAAACGATACGCTTGGCTTTTACAACAAGCAGAAATTAGCAAGGTAATGCACCTAATCATTACTATACAAGAGGCAGGATAGTGATTTAGAAGGATACATTTCTAATTGCTTAAATACTTTAATAACATCATCCAGTCACTGGGGAGCCCTGTTTCACAGAGGACCTGGACAACCCTTCCCAGCAACTGGGAAAATCCTACATGGTGTGTCCACCCATAGATAAGGTCTCTGGATTTGTCCTGAAAGGGAGTCCAGTGTTTATAGGCCCAAATCAGCAAGTCAAAATGACTTGATTTTATTTTTAGCTCAGTAATGCCTAGATCTGATGGCATGCTTCCCACTTAGCCATGGCCAGCACTCAGAGTCCAGGTCTTGGCTGGGAGGGTTTTCCCCTAAAATACCTTACAAACAAGCCTCTCATTTGGAAAAGCTTCTTAAAATGATAGGTTTCTTGCAAATAGCTACACAAGGTTATAAACAGCTAGCATAAGCATCTTTGTCATCTATTTTTAGGTAAATAATACTGATGGTGTTAGCCACACAATTTTCATGATCTATCTTGTAAGTCTACTCTGGCCTAGCCCTGATGCTCAGGCCGAGGCACATCATTGCTTTCAGCAGCCTTCAGCATTCAACTCAGTGTGCAGTGCCCACTTGACCACAAGAACGAGATCAAACAATGGCACAGGATGAGGTTTCCTTTGTAATGGAATGAACCCCTGAAAAGGACCATGTCTTTTGAGAAACTGGCTCTCACTGCCCAGGCTTGCTTAGGACCTTCAGCAGGACATGTGCTGCAAATACTGGAAAAGTGTCTCTTCTAAAGAATCCAGCTGCCAGCACAAGGGAACTGTAGGGACTGAGCAGAGCTGACTAAGAGGGACGACATCCCTTTTTACATGCTGAATATAAAGCTATTTCCTGGCCAAAAGCACTCCTGAAATGCCAACAGGAGATGGATAAAACCACTGAAAAACCCTGACAAACCCTATTGATCAAAATCTCCTAAGTGCCTGACTGTAAACAGAAAGTCCCTACAAAAAGTCACTGAAATGGAATTGTGAAGCCCCATACATTCCAAGAGATGGAGAAGCAGCTCTCTCTCCTCTGTATCCTGCTCTTCTTGCTGTTTCTGAGAGATAGTGCTGATCGAGAGAGCAGCCAGGCTCAGGCAACAGCACCACCTGGGACACTCAGCTAAGCATTGTGGTTTTGCACCTCTTGACAGTCTCTCTTGTACATTTAAGACATATTGAGGGGCTGGAGCAGCCATTTGTAGGGCACAGTAATTCATTTGCATTGGATAGTCTGTGGTGAGCATTTTCCTCTTGTATTTCGTAGGAGCAGCTGGAGAGCCTGGCTTCCCAGGACTGAAAGGTAAATCATGCTGTCATGTGGGCTACTTTGTAAACTTCTACCCTGTGCTGTTCTCCTGCATCAGATGACAGCAGTTACAGAGACTGGATGAGACTGTTTGCTGATAGTTGTATCTCATCATAGGCTCTGCCCTGGCACAGGTGCTGTGGGTAGTCCTGCTCCCAAACCAGATGTTCAGCAACAGCTGCTGTCCTCAGCTCAGGCAGCTGGTGCTGCCACCTGGCACCATCAGCTGCAGAAGCCACAGGGCTGAGGGATGAGCTCTGGGCTCTTAATATCCCTTAATATCCTCATGCTATGGCAAAATGCAGAGGCTCAAATGAAATTCAGTTGCTGCTAGTGCAAGAGGAACACGTCTCTACCAGCACTAGCAATAAGGTATTAGGGAAACATGGTTTTTTTTCCCTTATGCCATCATTCTGCATGTGAGGACCACAGGCACCCACCACTGAGCACCATCTGCACTGTGGCTTCCCTCTCTGGAGTTTGTCTGGTAATCACTGGGTCCAACACCACTGGTCTGGCAGATGACTAGTGCTCCTGTTGCCATTGCTGCTCCCAAACCACTGGCTGAAGCCCTGTGCCAGCAGTAGCCATTCCCCTAATGGGACTTGTAACTCTGCCTTTCCAAGGTGCATTGCTTCCTCCCTCCCACACTCACCCACTCCTATCCCACATGTCCTAGCCCAATGGGACTCACTGGCACAGACTGTTGGTAGACAGCTCTATGGGCTGGGCAGCAGCAGGCAGAACAGCTGGGTCGAATAGAGATATGTCCTGTGTCAGTCTCACCATTTGGACCTCTAAGCCCTAAAACAGATGCTAGCAGGAAAGATCATGCCAGGTCCAACAGGCCAAGAGAGGCAAGGCTGCCACTCCTTGTGCATAAATATATATTTTATACATATATATATAATTAATATTTATAGTGCACCCCCCAGTGGCCACCTCATGTATCTCCTGGTCAACCTGGAGAGTTCTTCCCAGTGTCTGAAGCAGCTGGGTGTCATTGCTATAGTTACAGGGTTTGTGACTTGGCCTCCTACCTACCTCTCTGTGCTTTCCTAGATCTGTGCAGATAGGCTGGTGGGTCTCCTCTGGTGGGCCTGGTAGCAGCCAGGACACCTTATATACTGAGCAACCCTTCCTGCCTGGTTTCTCTGTGCCTTTCATTTGCTTGGTGCAGATGAGCCAAGCACTTCCTCTAACATAACAGCTCGCCAGTGCAGCAGAATTTGTCATGGCAAATCTCAAGTACTGGGGAAGGGGAGTACTGGGTGTGGAAGGTGGAGAGCAATTGATGGTGTTGTTTGTCCAACAGGAACAAAAGGAGAGCCTGGATTGCCAGAAATTTGGGGTAAGTTTCATCCTAGGTCTTCACAACACTGGTCAGCTTTGCAGAGCAGATGGTGGTGGACTACCTGCACCAGAAGTCAGGAGAGGATAGGAACAGAAACAAGTTCAGAGTGGCATTGAAGAAGGAATAAGGAAATATCACTGTTATCTTTGCTTCTGACAGACACGTGCAGTTTCTGTGGGTCTACTCTGTACTCCAGTCATGCTGGGAAAGTCAGCACTCTGAGCACTACTTAAATGTCCTGTCCTCTGTGTGTCCTGGAGGAGGTCGATCTGAATTTTTCAGGCTTGGTGTCCTGATTTCTAAGATGAAACCACAACAAACACCGTTACAGACATGTGGCTACTTCAAAGGCAGTTATACTCCTGTACTCGCAGTACCTTTAGTACTTGCGGAGTTCATGTGTGTGACAGTGCTCAAATTAACTTATTCACTGGAAGAAAAGAAGAAAAGTAAAAGAAGCAATTTTCAGGTGCCCCATCTGTCTCCATGAGCTAAAGTCTGAGGAGAGCTACAACCTGCTCTGGCTACAACTGGGTGATGTAGGGCCACAATAAAGGCTCAGACAGATCAAAGCTGCTGTAACACCTGACAGATTGGGATGCCACTGAACTGGTTCCTTGCTGCCCCAGACACGTCTCTGGGCATATAAAAGATTTGAATAATAGGAAGGAAAAGGCCAAGTCCAGGACCATCTCCCTGCTAGGGAGGTCAAAAGACAGCCTAGTCCAGCTGTGTATCCATGTATTACACACAGCACACTGAGACACATGCACCACCAGCACCACCATCTCTGCTCATCCCCCCCAAGTTTTCCCTACTGATGCAGCTGTAGGTTGGGATGTCTGATAGGGACCATTCAGTCTCCTGTGAATCAGAACTTCTGTCAGCAGGTATGGTTTTGGGGAGGGAAAAAAGTATACGTAAGACATATTTATTTATTTATTTATTTATATAAATGTACATATGCAAAAGCATTGTGTTTCCTGGGGAGACCTCAGTGTGGCATTCCAGTACTTAAGGGAGGCTTATAAAAAAGCTGGAGAGTGATTTTTTTGCAGGGGCAGTGACAGGACACTGTCACTGTGTGATTTACAGCTAAAAAAGGAGAGATTTAGATTAGATATTAGGAGATGATTCTTTACTCAGAAGGTGGTAAGACCCTAGCACAGGTTGGCCAGAGAAGCTGCAGCTGCCCATCCCTGGAAGTGTCGAAGGCCAGGTTTGGATGAGACTTGGAGCAACCTGGGACAGCGGAAGGTGTCCCTGCCCATGGCAGGGAGTGCAACGAGATGAGCTTTAACATTTCTTCCAACCCAAACCATGGGTGATTCTATGATTCAATCCATAGTGAGCTGAACACTGTTCACCTGCATCACAGGGAGCTGTCCTGTGTCACTAACTCCTTTGCTGTCAACTACTCCACCCATTCTCTGTGCCCTGCCTATATTCTGGAGATGGGACAACTTTCTGGATCATGAGTTTGTCTTCTTTTTCAGAGCAGCTCCATCATCCAGATCCCCAAAAGTCACTGCAGATGACAGGAGTCTCAGCACCTTAGACCATCTTTCTTAGAAGGTGCCCATCTCCCCTACAACATATGAGCCCAGAAGCCAAGGCAGGGTTTGGCTCCCAGCAGCTCTACATTAGGATCCTGCAGTAAAAAGAGCCAGCTGGGTGCTAAAGGGCTCAAAGCTCAGGGCTGGTGTGCTCCCATGATCAGTAAACACATTATAATTCTTTCCACTTGATCTCTTTGATTTGCACAGAACCGGGGAACTGCCAAGAACTGTTGGCCAAAGGGAAGATTTTGAGTGGCTGGTACACAATCTACCCCCAAGACTGCAATGCCACCACCGTCTTCTGTGACATGGACACGGATGGTGGGGGATGGATTGTGAGTAGGATGAGGAGAGGGAGGTTTACATGTTCCTACAGAGATTCTTGTTAAGACTGCAAAGGACAGCTCAAAAATAGAAACACACAGCTGAAGTTCATGTCTGCAAGCCAGAGTGAATCCGTCTGGACACAGGGGATTCCCCCAAGACTTGTCTCTGGAAGCAGGCTGAGTGCCATAGACCCACTCCTTGCTTAAATCAGCAAACAATTTCCTCCTCATTTCCAAGGGCATATGGAAGAAATCATTGAGCAAGGGATTCTTGTGGGGTTTGCTCCCCAGACACCCACAAGAATGTCCTGATGCAGGGGTAGCATTTACCATGGTGGCATGTCCCCCAGGTGCTGTGGATGCTTTTGAGTGAGGGATGGGACTGAGGGTCTCTTTCAGGTTTTTCAGAGGCGCTGGGATGGGTCAGTGAACTTCTTGAGAGATTGGGATTCGTACAAAAGAGGCTTTGGCAACCAGCTGACAGAGTTCTGGATGGGGAATGACAACATCCACTTCCTCACCTCTCTGGGTAAGGTCTGCCTCTGTCCTGGGCTGGGGCCATGAGAGTTCAACCCCTATACCACATTGAGTCATTGCAGACCTCTGAGTTTCTCATATTCATCTGAGGCCCCCACTGTTAATCCCAATCAGGATGCAGACTCTTGCAGCCTACTGCACACAGGAAACTTCACTCTAAAAAAAACCAAAACTAGAAGTCCGGGAAGAGAATGAGCTGGCTGCATGATCTACCCTGGAGACAGGCCAACACATCTTCCTATTTGGAGTGTTTGTGATGGCATCATCTGGTCCACACACAGCCTTGGAGTTACAGCTGTGTGCAGGACTCTTGCCCATGACCACCCAATATCATATCTGAAAAGGTGCTTCCCTAGAAAACCATCAAAGGTATAGGAGGCTCTGCAGGAATTTTAAGTAAATCAAAATCTCTCAAGTATTGGCAGCTCTTCTCAAGTTAGCTCACAGCACCTTAAACCCTCCACTCTGAAAACCAGTGGCACACCCACCATCTGTCCTGCACCACTGCTATCCATCTTCTCTTCTAGGACCCTGTGAACTCCGCGTTGACCTGAGAGACTTTGAGAACAACTACTATTTTGCCAAGTATGCTTCATTCAGAGTTTTAGGAGAGTCAGAGAAATACAGACTGGTTCTAGGAGACTTCCTTGGTGGAAACGCTGGTAAGTTTGAGGCAGCTCACTGGCAAAGTCTGTTTCCTAGAGCATTTCAAAAGTGTTCAGTTTCTATGCAGAGATGTGTCATGCACACTCCCCGTATCAGCTACATTTTGGATCAATTTTTTAAAACTGGCCATGGTACCTCAGGTACTGAGTGACCTCTGGGTACAGGGATGGAGGGGGACACGCATCACCCAAAGAAATGTGACTCAGAGCATTACCTTCAAGCCCAGCCCTATTGTTTAACAGCAAATGAGCCTGGTCCTGAGCAGCACCCAAAGTAACTGACCTTCCCAACAGTTCTGCATCAGCCAGGTCACGGTCTGCTTTTGGTTACATTGGCAGGAGACATTTGCCCAGGAGGTCTGGCATTTCAAGGGCTCGGGTGCTGTTCAATACCTGCAGCATCAGCACTCCATCCTCTTAATACCGGATTTTAAAATTATTTTTTTTTAGTAAACAAATCTTCAAAATTCAATATCCATCATTCAGGAATGAGTGAAACCAACACCTGAGAGAGCAGTGCTCTAGGTTTATGTGGCTTTGCACACTGCAACCCTGGTAATTCAGACCTCTGTATCTGCAGAGAACCTGAGCATTGCAGAAGAAGTGACACCTGTATACCTGTGAAAAAATCTGACCTATTTGATTCACAGGCATAGATAAATTCTCCATGTGTTCTAGCAGAGCTCAGGATACTTTTGTCCAAGATGAGGAGAAAACCTGGGCAAGAGAGCAGAAGGATTTATACAACCTCCCTTACACCTGGGAAGGGCCACTGCTGCCCAGCAGGGGTGCACAGACACATCAGTGTCCTGTTTGTGATCCCTACTGCAGTAACTGTGAATGTGTGCTCTCTGCAGGGGACTCTTTATCGTATCACAGGGACATGCCATTTTCAACGGCAGATCAGGACAATGACATGAGTTCCTTCAACTGTGCCACGGAATACAAGGGAGCGTGGTGGTACAATGACTGCCATTACTCCAACCTGAATGGGATGTACTGGATGGGTGTGCATGGGAGCTACGCTGATGGCATCAACTGGAAGACAGGTAAAGAATACCACTACTCCTATAAGCGAACGGAAATGAAGTTCAGGCCAGTTTAACATGGTGACAGGGTGCCTGACTAGATCCAAGAGGTGCCACTCACCCACCAACAGAAGACACAAAACAATGTTGATTGGGGACAAAAATGGACCAGAAAGGATATTACAGGTTGTGCCTTCTGCCTAGAGCAGGATGTTTGAAGCCAGAAGATATCTGTACTGGTTTGAGCTCCTGTAAGCACCTGACCCTCTCTCACCCTGACTACCTTCAGCAGCCCCACTGATGCAGACTGAGCCCAAGCACCTTCTTCTGAAAAGTGCGTTACCTTGATTAAAGACCAGGTGATGAGTGGGGCCAGTGCACCTCAGTAAAGCTCTCTGATATTATTACTTAAATGGTAATTACTGCTAAGCTCCAGTATAATCCATGTATGTGAAGACTCCAGCATGCATGCAGCCTCTTTCTACTGGACCCAAGAGCCATCCGAAAGGCACTCAATTCCTGACCTGTCCCACTCTCCCTGCAGGCTGTGGTGGAGCCACAACTTAGAACAGCATGGAAAAGATTGAGCTTCCAGCACAGCACTGTCAGCACTAGCAGTTTCCCCCTTCTTTCCTCACATGTTCCAGGACCTCAGGTGGGACCCCAGCTCCTGGAACCACAGCAGAGTTGCTCAGCACTTCCCACCAGGACACAGCTGCAGCTGGACCCAGAGCCAGCTTTAGCCATTCTTTCTGGACATGTTTCTAGATTTCATTAGCTGCTGTGGACCAAGAGCTGTATGCAAAACAGTCTGTTCAGCAGCATGTGTGGTACCAAGACACAGTACACATGGTACAGCAGTTCCAAGTCAAGCCTTACACATGTGGTCATCATGAACAGTGCCAGTACCTTCCACTTCATCTTGTTTCCAATAGTGTTTGAGGGTGAGCTATCTGCTGGTGAGTGGACACAGTTCACCTGGTTCATGTATTGTATTTGAATATTAGCAGAACTTGGTCTCTTCTTCCTGCACTTGTGCTGCTGGACTCCTCGCCACAGCTGACAGAGGAGAGCCAAGTACTAACTCTTCACTGAAGGAATAGACAGAGACAGCGGAAATAGAGTATTTCCTTGTGTTAGGTTTCTAATGGTCCCAGGTTTATTTCACTATATATTGCACAGATATATAGGAAGGGCAGCTCCAGCCCTACAAGACAGAATCCAAACCTTGTGGGTGAGAAAAGTGAGGTCACTCAGCGTGCCACAGCAGTGGTAAGAAATAGTGCACTAAGAGATAAACATTGCGCTAAGATATAAACCTGAGCGTTTGCATCTCCCCACTCACTAGGTCCTGTCTCAGTTTACTTCTTTTCAGTTACACAACAAAGAGTGTGTCTGAGCAGAGCACACTGAAAGCCCCATAGTTACTTTTCCCTCTCCAGGAGCTCTGTCTTGTTTTTCTGCTACTCCCAATAAGATTCACATGCCCTCACCAGGACCAAGGTCCCAGAGCATTATGCTGTATCTCACCCATCTGCTGCTCATGCTGCCTTCCAGGAGTAGCTTCTTAGAGGTCCATGGTACTACCAGAGACTTCTCTGCAGAGATGTATAAGCAGGTGCTGGTATACTCAGCTATAAACTAGCTAAAAGTGCTAAATCCCCTTTCTCTGCTCACCTCTAGCTTCTCCTCTTACTACACAGAAACATTCAATGTTTAAATTTTGCTTGCAAAGGACACTGATGAGACTTTAAACAGACTACTTAACTACACAGAAATAAAAGAACTACTAGTAGATAAAACAGTGCATGATAAAGGTACCTATATTACATCTAGTAAAGAAGTAGTATAGATTAAGATTCAATGTAATTTACCACTAAATGGATGATGGAGTACACATCTAATTCTTCCTCTCAATTCCCAGGAAAGTAACCATGGAATTCGCATCCAAACTCCATATAGAAGTCCCTGCACGTTTCCAGGGAGTATGTAGGAGGTTTGTACCTCCATGAAAATTCGTGTGGCTTTTATAGTTGTAAAAGTAGTGTCTTTGAGTCAGGAATTTCTAGCTTATCTCCCCACACCTGTTCTCACACCCAGTTGTTTATTGGGAGTTCTACTCCTGGTGCCAGAGAGAGAAATAACTCACTAGCTTGTGAGCTGGCCTGGGTTATCTCATCACATAATGTGGAGGGGAGAGTATCCAGAGCTGACACACTAGTTACAGATAAGATCTTCTGTGGCAGAGGGGATGTCCTGCCACACTCGTGTAGGGGTAGCATGTGCAGGAAGATTCTGGCCTTACGTATGCCTGGATAACATGTGCTCACTGGCTGCTCTGCCCAAAAACCCCACTCCTGGCAGGGACAGCCCCTCTGTCACCACCAGCCCATCCACTCCTGCCCACAGACAAGTTCCCATTTTCTCATTACAAAAATCACCCCTAGCTTTTGGTGTCTCTGAATCTTACTCAGAGATGGATCTGTCATTCTCCTGCAAAACAAAATTGCACTGAATCTCTCATGTATGGCCCAACCATATCCTATTCCCAAACAACACAAGGAGGTATTATTTTCAGAGTAAATTCAAAGCAATGGACACTTGCCAGAAGTGCATTGACTGCTCAAGTTAAGAAAAGCCAACAGTGAAAGTTTAATTTTGGGGGGGCAGAGTCCCTCACCAGCACTCACTGACACCCTCCCTCCTCAGGTGACAGTGGTGCCAGGTGGTCCCTTTCATGTGTGCCCACTCCTGTCTAAAGCACGGTGCTGCAGGTCCTGGCAGCAGTCTGCGACCAAGTGCCACTTGCAGATTTGGTGCACCACAGAGCACTGACCATGGCACCTCCTGAGGCTGCAGGGTCCACAGTCTGCTACCTCCGTTCAGAGCTGGTCCAGAGAGCAGGGGTGGACAACAGAGCCAGTCTCATGCTGGACAGGCTCTGTGCAGCATAGCCCCAGCTTCCTGCACAGCTTGCCCTGCTGAGCAGTGCAGTCACATCACTCCTCAGTGAACTGCCACGTCATTGTCACAGTGCCTCCAAACCTGACCTCCTGAAGAATCTTTTCAGGAGGCTGGTGCTGTAACACCACTTTGTGCAGTTTTGGACAAGCCTGCACATGGATTTATGTTACTGCTCGGTCACCTGGCTGGCACAAACCCGCATGATGCCTCCCAAACACAAGACTCGGCGCTGTGCCACTCCCAGCTCCCTGCACGCCACAGGGATGTGGCTTCTCCGTCCCTCCAATGCCATCATGCTGAGCTCTGGCTCAAGGCAGCAGCTAGCACGGCCCCAGAAACATCCACCCAGCACTTTACAGGGACAGCAAAAGACAAGGTCAAACCTTTCTCCTGATGTCCACCATGGCAAATCAAAGTTTCTCTCAGTCAGACATTGCAGCCTTTCTTACCATAATCTCACTGAAGGTGAAAGAAGTTGATCAATAGTTAACTCATGTAAGCATGAGTTAACTACTAAGAGTCAGCAAATATTACTTACAAGCCTAAGAAGCAGGATGCACCTTAGCCTTCTCAAGATAAGAGACACAGAGTGCACCTTGTCAAGGTAAGAGGAACAAAACCTATTATCAGCAGAAAATTCTGAACCAGCCAGCAAAAGGACTGCACATGCTTCAGAAAGAAAGATTAAAAGTGCAAAGTGAGGAAGACTACCAGCCTTCATCAGAACAACCACTGAGGAAGACTCGGAGCCTTCCTCAGTGCGACCCCCAGAGTAGACTGTGTTTGCGCATGACATGTGCTAATGATATTAATGATTTCTGAAAAATAATTTGTATCACTCCAATCCCAAGTTATGTAATGAATATGCATGAAATTTAGCCATATATTGTGCTGTGTAAAAGTGCTGAGTGTGTTAGGAGAAGTAGTCCCCCACGTACCCGGCACCAAATAAAGCAGATACCCACCTGAATGAGTCAGTCTGTAAGGTGACTCTTAGCTCAGCATCAGAGCGAATCAAAACAAGAGACCTGTCCCATAGTGTTCTCCTCGGGTACACCAATTCCACAACCCTGAAGATATCCAGCTGTTGCTTGAAAGCACGGCCTCACCTTCCTCTGCTTCAGCTGCCCCTGCCTTCCCTCCTGGGCTGGCAAAGGCCTCTGCACGGACTCTCTTGTGAGCCAGACCTGAAGACCAATTCCTCAGAAAATTAATTCAAGAGAAGAAAAGCATACCTCCTTCGCAGCGTGCTCATCTCCCTGGTTCTGCTTTTTATGCAACGGCACGAACCTGTGCTTGGGAGGGACCACAAGAAACAGCCGACCGGGGAGGAGATGTCCCCTTCTCCTAGCTGACCTGAGCGTACACAGGATGGAGTGGCCAGATAACCTTTACCAGAGGTGCAAGTTACAGAACTAGCTTCCCACATCCGCTGCCATTTTAGCCTCTGCAGTAGGGGAAGCGGCCCACCGGAGGCGAGGCACGGCCCGTTGAGGAGCGAACCCGCCGGGTCGAGCCGCCATAACGGACCCGCGGCGCGTGCGGCGCTCGCGCGGTCACGTGAGGGGACGCTGGGTCACCACGTGATCGCCAAGTGCTGGGTCACGCGGCCGGTGCCGTGGCTGCCATGGCGTCGGCGCTGCTGCTCCCGCCGCCGCCGCTGCTGCTCCTCCTCCTCCTCCTCCTCCTCCGCCTCCTCCCGCCGCTGCCGTCCGCCCGCGCCGCTCCCGGTGGGTGTTTCGGGACGGACCCTTCTGCCTGTCCCCTCCGCTCCTCGGGCCGGATCACTCTGCCTGACCTCCTCCTTCCTTGGTCAGACCCCGGCCCTCCCGTGGACGGGACCCTCGGCTAGCTTTCCCGGGTGCTGGGCAGGACCCCGCGCTAGCCTCGCCGGGCGGAGCCCTCAGCCAGCCTGGGGAGCACCGGGAGGGCGCTCCGAGCTCCCCGGGTCCCAGTTCCCAGGCTGGGCTGTGCTGTGCTGGCTGGCAGCGCCTGTTGTTGGTTTCCCCTGTGCTGATGATGCCCCCTCCAGCTGCCCGGGTCGTGTGGCCCGGCCTGGAGGAGCGGTTCTTTCCGCAGGTGCGGGACCACTTCAACTTCGAGACCTACGGCAACGAGACCTTCCCGCAGCGGTACCTGGTGTCG